ATTTGTACAAGGTTGATTGCAATTTAAGTCGTCAGGTTCTACATCTTTATTTCGCAACATCGTCGGTTTTCATCTTCCACTTTTGTCAGCGATGGTCAATATCTTCGATATCCAATTTATAGCGAGAGTCCCCGAGCTTCTCAAAGCACTAATCAAATGCTAATTCCACCTCCATATTATTAGCAGAAAGGATATGATTCAAGACGTGTATCGACTCCTTCCCTCCATTTAAAATTTTTGCAGAATATTAGTCAAGTGTTGGCTTTAACCTATCCACAGCTTACCAGATTTCCTGGCAATACTTGGCCCTAAGATGAATGGAAAAATGATCTTGCATTTTGAAATTGCTTTTAAGAAAAGATTTTTTTCTTTTCCTTAGGTGGACATCGTTTCAAAGCATTAAAATATTATTAATATATATCGCAATTCTCTATCTGCGGGGTCAAGCTTTGTGTGCTTTGCTTTAGGGACTTGCACGACATCCATATCCTCGAAAATTTTCAAGTTTCTCAATGACAGTTTTCATCCACACCAGGTTTTTTTCCTTGTTTAATTTTCGAGATCCTTACCCAACACACTGTTAATTAGGTATGTAGAGGCATTAACGGCTTCTGAAGGATGTCTAATCCTCAAATACTTTATGTTGCAGATAAAATTTTTCATGACATATTTGTTAAAATATGCTTTGTTAAATTTGTCTCGCATGCTGACATCATTGTCGTGCTTCGTAACCTTGCATCTCTTGGCATAGAAGATGACTTTGTATTGTAAGGAAGCGATTTTGCTTCCTTACGAAATACAAGTCCGTCCGCCTTAGACATCTATCCCCAATCCGCAACCAGCAAGTCCGATCTGTCCACGCATGCCGTTCTGTGAGCAATACACGGACAGCCCCCTCCAATATCAAAATCATAAAACACACACTAAGTATACCTATACCTCGTACAGATAAAATCATAATATCACACACTAAATATGCCTATACCTTGTAACGAGAAAAATGTCTAAACACCTATTATACAGGCCCACGTGAGTTAATTCATAGAAACGCACACCACATGTGTGTAAAGAGAAAAGTACAAGCACATAGTGAAGATGCCTCTGTAAAACCACAGAAGCACACCACAGCACAGATTAAGAACCCCAGTGTACCAAAAAGCTTAGATCCAAATTTCCAAATGTAATAGCGGAGCCAAGAACTCAATGAAAAGGAAAAAAGCTCAGATCCAAGAAATTAAGAACCCCAGTGTACAAACAGCTTAGATTCCAAAACCTCAAAATATTTGATGGCAGAGCCAAGAACCCAAATAAAAGAAAAACTTAGATGCAAGAAATCAATATGTGAAGAACCCAAGTAGAATCTCAAAATGTTTAAGAACTCAAAGGCTAAATAAAACTCAAAGTATAAACACAAGTAAAATTCCAAAATGTTTAACAAGCAGAATTGAACTTAGGTAGAAAATCTATGCATGCAAAACAACTTCAGCAAGAATCTCTATGTGTAAAAATGCGCAGAATGTACAGCACCGTTAGGGTAAACAAAACAAGCAGAATTGAACTTAGGTAGGGAAAAAAAATAATAAGAACATACGATAATGCATAAACTGCATACACAAAATGTACAAAGACACGATCACACATGTAAAAACACACAAAGTACATGCAAACACAGTGCACAAGCACTCACATACCTAACGGTGATCGAATCACGCGATTTGGTACCTGAGTGCTTGTGAGTAGACATTTGAACAAACATAGTAATAAGTTAGATGTAAGTTGTTTAAGTTGTGTATAAGTAGGATCATGCAAGTCGTAACTGAGGTTGCGACTGCAGCCAACCTAAGCTAAGCATACACATAAGTATAGGACCGCAAAACTCATGTAAACACATAGGACATGTTGGCAATGGGGCAAGCGAGCGAGACCCCCGCTATAAAAGAACAGCGCATCGCACAGACTCGTTCATTTCGGTGTCATAGCTGCCTGGAGGTAAGTGGTTACAGACAATATGACAAATCTCTTTTTTTTGACATTACGGATAGGGGATGTGACGGTTAGTATCAATCGCCATCCCTGAAAGACTTTGTAGGTTAAATGACATTACGGATAGGGGATGTGACGGTTGGTATAAATCGCCATCCCTGAAAGACTTTGTAGAACAAATGACACTACGGATAGGGGATGCGACGGTTGGTATAAATCGCCATCCCTGAAAGACTTGGTAGGACAACTGACCATAGGGATGAGGGACGTACAAGCTGGCTGAAGAATATCTTGGTCTTTGTATTTTCCGACGAGTAGCGAAACGGGGACACCCCGGCGGCAGCTATGACACTGGTAGCGTATTCGGTCCTTTTCTTTCAGCGCCCGCGATATTAAAAGTGTAACGAAAAAGAAGCGCAAGTTCCAAACTTACAAGTAAAAGAAAAAAACAAACCGGTAATAGCACGACAAGTCGGGACATCTCGCTGGTTCCTTTTCCTTGCCATAGCCCAGTTATACACAAATTGCTGTACTTCTATCCAGTAAAGAGGAAACAATAAATCTAGAACACTAAACACCATTCCCTCCGAAGGTCCTGATTATTTCTCTAAATTTTCTTGCAACGAATCCTGGATTGACTGAGTCATACCCCGCCTAAGGAAACTCGTTACAGTATCTACGCTTCACAATCCTTGAAATTGATAGTAAATTAGGAAGAACGGTAGTATATAACACGTTCGAGAGTTTAATAGCATTTATAATTTTTCGAACTCAAATTTTTGCATATATTTTTGTAATGGTGTTTTCAGAAATCACCGAACTGATAACACTTTCAATTTAAAATTCCTTGCACTTCATCATATCGTTGAACTTCGCTTTTTCACTGCATAAGTGTGACGTAACTCCTGAATAAAAGTACTAATTAATTGAAAGTAAATTACTTACTCTGTAGCTTGTAACGTCATTGTGTTCCCGCAATCGCCAATTATATATTTGTCAGTACTGTCACTATTCATTACCATTAGTTGATAATATTCAAAAAATTTAGCCAAGATTATTGTCCCAACTTATTCGTCAGGCACTTTCATTTCGCTATCGGATAACATATTTCCGCTATCCTCAATTATATTCATGAATTCTTCCACCGATTCGCAGTCTTCGGTTTTTATTTTTTTTTTGAATGTTGAGTTAGAATGGACTAATCCAATAACACTTGCATTATATGCAAGGAAAGCCGTAATGACCACGTACCCAAACAAGGTGGCAGTCATCCACTTGAAATTCATTTAACACGTTCGAGTGTTGATTGTGAAGTCTAAAAGAGTCTCCTACTTTTTGTCGTAATCAGTTTCGCAACAAGTTTACAGGGCAGCTCAGACCCGAGTCTTAAAAAGATATTCTCAAATTTGTCCACATTTGCGTAGTTTCTATTGGTTCTTGAATATAAAATATATATATAAATATATACATAAATATATACATATAGAGGTAAACATATATATATATATAGAGTAATAGTTCCTTATTCGCGCTTCCTTTATTCGCGGTTTCACTATTCGCGGATGAAAAAAATGCGACCGATTCCAATATTCGCGACTATAAATTTCTTCATTCGCGGTTTTTGAGAATGTAAGCAAACAGAATGAAAGGAACCTTATTATTCAATGAATAAAGTATTGTTGCGAAAATCCCAAATCTAGTTCATTTCAGCTAAGTAATTTCCCCAAATAACAAATTGCCTAAAGAAGGAAAAACTAAATACACATTCGCATTCAATTAAATTGATTTTTTTATATATTTGATTTTTTATTATTTTGTCACCTAGGAACGTATCCCCTATAATCCCATATAAATTACCATTCCGTATTCACGGTTTCTGTATTCGCGGCATTTTTATGGAACGTATCCTTGGCGAATAAGAAACTTTTTCTGTATATATATAAATAAAACTGGAGTTACTAGAAACATTAGATTTAAACGAGCGCTTGTGTTTTTCACATCATCTCGCTCATATTACCATTTTAATTTGTTACAAAATTGTATTCATTATTTTCTTTTTTTTTCTTAAAGAAATGTTTATCTTACTTTTTGAACGTGTTAACTGGGGACTGATCACGTATCGAAAAGTTAACTTTAGCTTACAAATTTGAGGGTGATCAAGAATATATATGTTTTGTGGGGTCTCTGATGCTTCCTTCTGGGCGTTGCAAAAGTTTTCACAAAATGAATATGCCCTTTACAGTTCGGTGTTGAATATAAAAACAAACAAGTAAACTGAAGGATTGAATTAACTGATTAATCAAAAATATGTTTGTCCGCCCAACATAAATATCTAGACGTTAACTATGCGTGTCCGACCATTAAGTCATGGTCCGTCCTCGCACCGTATAAAATTAACCCTTTTACCATCCTCTCTCGATCGTAACACAATTACCATTTCTTTATATTTTCATTTCAATTTTTTTAATAGAATGATATCAATTATTATAAAATACCAATTCTATATACCAATTCTAACAAAGTAATAGAATGCTCAAAAACTTATCTCCTCGGCCGAGTAGCGTATTCCTGCTTCACCGCTTACCGCTTTCACCGAATCTCGTTTGGCTAGGGCAGCTGTCTATATTTTAAAATTTGAACGTGTTGCTATGATTAACATTTGCTGAATGTAACTTTTAATACATTTTATTTTTGATTTCGCAGTTTTGCACAAAAATAAAAAGAAACCTGTTCTTTTGTGATTTGATATTTACAACACCTTCCTGTATATTAGTTGAATAAAATATGTCGCAATTGGTGGACACAAATGAAACCCACTTTTGTAATGTACAGACAAACATCCGACTCTCTTTCTCTTTTCATTACTTCCTCTTTCGCCATTCCTAGTTAATTTTTTCTGTCTTACAATAGCAAAAGACTCGTTTATAAAAAGGAAAAGAATAATTAGCGACGATCCGATATTTTAAACAGATTATTTACTGCTCTTTTACAAAAGAGCAAATTAATCGACAGAGAGGCCCCATTTACCTTTCACTCGCATACGACAAACATCTCTTAATGAAGCAGTGGAGAAATATTGAGCGAGCAAATTTAAGAAAAAAAAAGAAAAAATAAACTTGAGAAAAAAGAGTTTAATTATAGACATCGAAATGATTAGACATTCTTGCCTGTTTTCATGTATTCTTGAGTTACTCTTTGGTTACAAGATTTTTGCACTAACTAGTGCAACAAAAGTAAGTATTTTTTAAATTTGTTTCTCGTTTTGATATTAATATAATATATATTTGTTAACTAGTTTTAACATTCAATGGTTGCAGCTTCCAAGGAAAAATTGAGTGAACTGCTGCAGATCATTGCGGAAAATCGCGAAATGGTGCAAAACTACAACCAAACTTATGCACGGGGGCGTGAACTGTGACATAATATAAACTCTAAATCAAATTCAATGGGTCTGGTCAACAAGCCAGAGGCAACTTGGCGAAAAGTAAGTTAATTACAATCTCCATTCCAATATTCCAATATTCAATATTTCTAATATTTCCAATTATTTTAATACTTTTAGGTTTAGATTTAGGCGACCATAAGTATTGAACAAAAAGGAGGATGAGCTATAACAAAACATCGTTGAAGCAAATTGGAGCAAGGCCAAAGGAAGAAGTAGAAATGACTGTCGAAGAGGATAAAATTTCAGAGTTAACAAATTTAGAGGCAGCAGTGGAGGATTTAAGGGGCATTGAAATTTGGCACATCGGTCGAATCTTTCGATCATGCTTTTCTTCACTAATAGAGTAGTGTAGAGTAGTTTAATGTGCAATTTTCTGTTTTTTTAAATTGTTTTTTATGTGTTTAGAAACAATGTAGCATATGTACTATTTGAAGAGGATACGTCAATTGCAGCTAAAAAGCGAAAGCAATTTTGCGTATGTGATTTATGATTTTAAAAGTTTAAGATTTGGTTTCTTTTTGTTTGGCTAAGCCAGATTATTGAAAGCCAGGGAAGGAAGGACCCATTTAACATACGCAATTTGCTCCAAGACCAAATCGATACTGAAAGACGTTTTCAAGAAACCATCCAAAAGCAATGAAGGGAGTAAAATCAATTATAGTCGTTCAACGCCAAGGTACTGAAGCTGAAAAAGTTCGATTTCCTTTTTCCCAAAATACCAAATGATTTCAAAGGTGATGACAAGCGACTTCGTTAAACGCTTTCTGTTTCTATCTAACTTGATCTAAAGAAAGATCATTGTAATTCTTAATGTTGACAAACTTTGAATTTTATATTTCTTAATTTTCATATGTGTATTATTTATATATGTAATATATACATATACTTATTTCTATTATGAAATGTTATAATGAAATAATGAAATGAATATTAGTGAAATGGAAATAATAAAAAACTTATAGTTAGAAATTTCAGAAATTTAAATTTTCAAATATGTATTTATTTTTTGTTTTAGTTTGTTGAAATTTTATAAACTAAAGCAATGACGAATGTCACTTAAATACACAATTAAAAAAAACTCGGCATAAATCTTAAAAGAAAAAATTTTCGGTTTTTCGCGGCTAACTCACAATTTTTGGTCAATAAATTTTGTTCTTATTTGCTAATTATTTAACAATTTTGCTTTGAATTTGTTTTATTTTCAATTTACAAGTGTTCTCTTATAAATGCAACTCTAAACAACCAACACTAACTCAAGAACAACTAATACTAATGCCAGACGTGAGCTCTTTTGCTTTCGCATAATTCGACAAATACGAGAGAGTGTATTTAACAGCTATTGTGCCTACGTGATTAAAAAAAATCAATAGACATTAAACAATGATCACATAGGTGTTTCCAAAAAAGCCGAAACACAAAAACATGAGCTGAGTTTTAGGTACATGATTATCCACACTATAAATGAATACTAAAAAGTGATTAAATGAATATATATTTCACAATATGACAGTTTAACAAGTGAACTTACCAAACGAAGCGGAAAAGTATAAAACAAACATTGACAATTCAGTGTTAGATTACGTTTACGTTTCTAAATGAATAAACACAATGGAATTGTTAATAAAAAATAAGTTTTATTGACAATTCAAATTATGCTAGATAATACTATTACGAAAATCCCAAATTCAGTAAATGTCAGCTAAGCAATTTTCGTAATAATAAATTCCCTAAAGAAGGAAAAGCCAAATGAGCATTCGCAGGCGCCTCATGCAGCTGCAACTTTGAAGTGTATTTCTCTTGTACGAAAATATCCGCGATCCAGTGATACGGACTGTATCCTAAGTAAAAACGAATTTCATAACAATACATTTCCTGCTTTCATTGTGAAATATACGGCCTTTTTACGGGAGCTCGTTTCACTCGACATGGCCAAAGTAGGTACGGTGGAACTGTCAATACAATTAATGTTTAATATTTGACTAGAAAATTAAGCTTACTACATTCGTCGTAAAATAAGCAAGAAATCTTCTACAATCAAAATGAAATTTTGAATTCACCATTGAATTCAACACATCTTTCAATTCTATTTTAATCTCAGTTTAATTATTTGTAACTACGAAGGTTATGAAAAAAACAAATCCGTAAACAGTTAGGGAGTTTAGTTATTTTACATCCGGCTGTAGGCAAAGGATCTCGACTAACAACTCAATAGTCGCGGGTTCAAACCTCAACTGCGATAGAGTTTTCAATAAATCCCTTAGATGCCAATGCTGTACGATTTTAGTCTTGGGAATCATTTGCTTGACTAAATTAATTATAATAATAATAATAGCAATTATTTTACATATGCGAGTACTTTCACAATTAAATCCAGTAATTGTGCTAATAAATCTCTTACAAAGTTGGTAAAGAGATCTATGACGAATAAAAGACAATTGTTAATATCTACTTATAGATCATTCAAGGTAATTAATCTATGCTTAAAGAAACTAGCGCTGCTGCTAAAGCTACAAGAAGCCAAGCATACAACGAATGACTTCTCAATGACTGGAAGAAATAACTTTTTGAGAATTTCTACTAGATCACCTAAGTTGAAACAGCTTATACCCGCCTGAGTGACCGAGTAGGCAAGAGTCTCGACTCGCAACTCAATGGTCGTGAGTTCAAATCTCAAGTGCGGTAGAGTTTTCAATAAAGCCGAAAACCTTAGATGCTAGTGCTTTAAGATTTTAGTCTTAGAATTTCTTCTCTGGTTAAATTTATAATAATAATAATAATAATAATAAATAGCTTATAAAAGAACCGCGAGGTGATTCAAATTTAATAATACAATTCAGTTAGATGAGAAGTCTAAACTTAAGGTAATCTTCAAAAGAAAATTTTAGGTTGGAATATAAGAGGATAGATATATGATCTCTCAAGCAGATATGTTATAGCTGATAGCTGATTTTCGTTCTGCAAACAATTTAATGAAATAATTTATGTGCCACATTAGAAGAATTCCAAGTTTGGTGTTGAATAGCCATAAATATTTCGATCGCATAGTTAGAGACACTTTCGCGTTATGAGTAGCGATATGGACACCTAAGTTCAATTTGTTATCAAATACTATTCCAAAACATTGCATCGACATGTGTAAGGTAGTTGAACGGATTAATTTGATTTATTCTCGTTTATGAATGGTGAATTATTGAGCGTTCAATTATTAGTTCCTGCTAAACATTCGTTTATTACAGCTTCAAGAGAATCAGCAGCCTCTAAGAGGAGGTCGCCATTAGAAAAATAAATACATTCGCTAGTCTCCACTAAAAGAAGTAAACAAAAAGGAAAGGAGAAAACGATAGGATTCAAAATCAATTCTTTAAGAGCAAATGAATTCGCCTAAGCCATCTTGGAGTAATTGTTTGCATTTAATTAGGGAAGACTGCATACAATTACATGCACTTTTACAAAAATTAAAGTATTGCAATGAACAATTCATGAGACACTCTATCAAAAGCCTTCGGAAAGGTCCAGTTGTATTATGGCGAGCATGAAATCCCAACTGACAATGATGAATAGCGCCCTGGTCGTAGCAAAATCAGTCTACGTTCTACAATTTTAAAAAAAAGAACAGACAGAATATTAATTGGTCTTAAATTGCCTAAGGCTAATTAATATCTACGTTTCGGTATTGACCTAATTTTCAAATAACGAAAGTTTTCGTTTGTGCCAATGTAATACTCAATTCGTTTTGTTATTAATAGCAAATAGTATTGGTGCAAAAATGTTTGAAAGATACATAAACAATAGCATTTAGATCCGCTTTACTATTACTGGTGAAAAAGCTACCTTGTTCAATTTAGTCCTCCTTGATTCACATACCAAGAATAATTACTACATGATACGGTATATTAGGGGTTATTGCTTAACTACAACTATCAGGAGTTATTTTTCCTCCAGTCAAAAATAGTAGATAAGGGATGTAGATTGATGTTGAGGATGGAAGTGGTTTTGTAGACAGTTATGCCTAGAAGCCCTGTAGCATTATCTAATTATCGTAATCCCGTTCAATAATCATTTATGCTTAGTTTACACTTTTATATATTTCCACATAATGTAAACGTAGCTATCACCTAGATAAGATCAGTCCAACATATTTCCACATACTGCAAGTCTAACTATAACCTAGTTAATGTAACGCAATCTAGCTATAACACATATTACATGTAACTTTAGTAATAGCCTAGTTTAATTCTACTATTTTGCTTAAGTAGGCATAATAATTTATTATATAAGTTACTGACCACAGTTCAGTAAAGTCAAAAGTAAATAAGAGTTTAAAATCAAAAGAATCATAATAAATAACAATTCAAAAGAACCATTGATTATGTTTTCACTACACCCCAGTCATTGGAGTAGCAGAAATAAATCATAATTAAAGTCACGTGCTACAACAATTGTGTTATAGAACCTCAACAAACGTACAAGCTCTTTTTCCAGACTGTCAGTATCTAATTTTGAGAAGTACAGTAAAAGCTTCTTATTCGCGCTTCCTTTATTCGCTGTTTCACTATTCGCGGATGAAGAAAAACGACAAAATTGCCATACTCGCGGCTATAAATTTTGTATTTGCGGATTTTTTGTGGCTGGTTCCGGAATTGTTTTGTTCCTGAAGTTGAAACTTATTTAAAAAACAGAATTTAGACTTTAAAGCACTTTTAGTTTTGGACAATGCACCAGGTCATCCTCGCAAACTTGAAGCTATGCATCCAAATACAAAAGCATTTTTACCTCCTAACACGACGACTTCCCTTTAACCTATGGACCAAGGAATAATCCAGGCCTTTAAGCTCTATTACATTAGACAAACCTTCAAAATCATATTGGATAATATGGAATGTAATCCTGATATGAATGTTATGGAATGCTGGAAGAAATTTGACGTAGCAAAATGCATCGTAAACATAAAAAAAAAATCATTTGAAGAACTGAAGCCACACACATTGGAGTCATGCTACAAGAAACTGTGGCCTGCTCTGACTGCGGAAAATGACGAAGAATCTGTCCAAGCTCAAGCTTTGACTGCAAACATAGCCGAAATCGCGAAAGGAATAGGACGAGATGGGTTCGAGCAGATAGAATCAAGTGACATTCAGGTATTGCTTGAATCGCAAGATGAAGATTTGACTACAACCGACTTGAAGGAAATGTTAAATTCACAGCCCATTGTAGAAGAGGCTTGTAGGAAATGTTAAATTTACAGCCCATTTGAAAAGTTTTAGTGAAGGTTTAAGAATGGCAAATGAGCTTGGCGATTTCTTTATGAACATTGATCCGTCTAAGGAACGAAGTCTTATTTTTAAGAGGCAAATTGCTAATGCGACTGCTGCGTATCAGTCTAAATTGAAGGAGCTTTTAAAAACTGCCAAGCAAGAGAAACTTACAAAATTCTTCAAACCATTGCCTAAGCCTCAAGATAATTAATCAAAATGTTTAAAAACTTCAATTAAATTGATTTTTTCATATATTTGATTTTTTTTATTTTGTCAACTAGGAACGTACTCCCTATAATCCCATATAAATTACTATTCCGTATTCACGGTTTCTGTATTCGCGGCATTTTTATGGAACGTATCCCCCGCGAATAAGGAGCTTTTACTGTATGCTGCTCCAGCAAATAGCTTGTTACTATCGTAAGGTAGTTCTACAAATAAAGCCTTGCATATATCTTCATATATTTAAATGCTATCCTAAGCTTATTAATTCTTTGGTTCCCGCTGTACG